GAATGAAAACTTTGAAGATTTGTGTAATTATTTCATACAAATAATATACGGAATATAAAGCTTAACAAAAATATGTATAAAATCTTTTATGGCATTCAGTTACTGAAGACGAATTTCTGTAATTGAAGTCGATAATTGAAATTGCTCTTTTATACAGTAGATGACCATTTTATAAGATAAAGAATGGTTTTATGGTATTCATGTTGTAATCTTATGAACCCAAAGATAATAACTTTTGTAGATATTGTAACTTGACGTTAAGACTCACCTGGAAGGGGGCGGGCGTGAGAATCTTTCCAGTACGATCGCGTTTGGCCTTGAAGTTTCGGTACATTTGGAGCCGCTTGATGGTGCCCTTCGTGCGGGGGTGGGCGACTCCCTTGAGTCCGCTTTTGGGGCGTTCCGGATTCATGGAGTGGTTTGAGTGGTTGAATCCCTGCGTCCGGGGCTTACCCGGGGTGCTGCGTACTTTCGGCATGGTGTCTTGAGAATGCCTTTTTTATAAATTACAATGTATGTTTAGGCACGCTCAAACCAAAACACACGTGTTAGGTTGAAATATAAAAAAAACAAAGGGATCGTGCGTTGCTCAGCACTGTCGAAGTTGCTATCCAACACGGAAATGCGCCTCAGAAAATCTCTACTACGAGGAATGGCCACACTAAAATCACAACAGTATTCAACATCCGTTTGGGAACAATTTTAAAATTATTTGCATTTATTGAATGCATCTGTAACATGGGTACATATGGGCTTAAAATACTTTTTTGCAATTAAAGTGATTTTTAAAAATGTTTCGAACAATCTTAGCCATTCTTAGGCTAATAAATGCGAAACTACCGATTCTATTAGGCATATACTTATGACCACCACTGTGTTTAAGTAGCAAGCTGGTTTTATATCCGTGTGCCTATGTATATTTGTATCCGCTTGGCCACGAGCTTCGGCTGCACTTAGCAAACTTTAAAAATTTAAGATAAAATGCTGCCTATTTCAACGAAGAGATAATGTGAAGAAAAGCATTTCGAACGACCCATAGCGATTAGTAGTGTTTAGCATTTGAGCAACATTTATTCCCAAAGCGCGACTTGGGATTGCGTATGCGTGTGCCAGCCCCTGCATGTGTGTGTGTTTTTGGAATGTGGCCCTCCACGAAATTCAAATAGTGACCATCCTTGAGATTTTGCATACTAGCAAGATGGACGAGCACACGCTAAACGACTTGTTGGAGTGCTCCGTGTGTCTTGAGCGACTGGACACCACATCGAAGGTGCTGCCATGCCAGCACACCTTCTGCCGCAAATGCTTGCAGGTGAGTAATTGTAGTGGGTTTTCTTTATATATCGTATAACCTGAATAATTTCATCATCCTATAAGGACATTGTGGCCAGTCAGCACAAGTTGCGATGCCCGGAGTGCCGCATCCTGGTCTCTTGCAAAATCGATGAACTGCCTCCAAACGTCTTGCTGATGCGAATCTTAGAAGGTAACAGCTACGCCCACACCAACCTCAACTAGTCACAAAAGCCTACGCTGAATATCAAAGAATGCTTGACTTTATAAGTGCGGTAGAGTGGCTTTGGCAATTGAACGTGGTGTTTACCTGATCTTTACCTAACTTTAAACACACTATCTCTCATTCACACAGGCATGAAACAAAATGCAGCAGCTGGCAAAGGCGAAGAAAAGGGAGAAGAGACTGAAACGCAGCCGGAGAGGCTCAAAACTCAGCCGCCACCAGAATCAGTGGCCCCGCCTGGCAACCAACTACTTCAGCTGCAGTCACATCAGCAATCTCAGCAGCCGCCTCGCCACAAGCAACGTCGGTTTCTAATCCCCCATGCCTATGCGCTCTTCGACTTCGCCTCCGGTGAAGCCACCGATCTAAAGTTCAAAAAAGGAGATCTGATATTAATCAAGCATCGCATCGACAACAACTGGTTTGTGGGGCAAGCGAATGGTCAGGAGGGCACGTTCCCCATCAACTACGTAAAGGTATCGGTTCCGCTGCCCATGCCGCAATGCATCGCCATGTATGACTTTAAGATGGGGCCCAACGACGAGGAGGGATGCCTCGAATTTAAGAAAAGCACAGTAATACATGTAATGCGCCGAGTTGATCATAATTGGGCAGAAGGACGAATTGGCCAGACCATCGGAATCTTTCCAATAGCATTCGTTGAGCTGAATGCAGCTGCCAAAAAGCTGCTGGACAGCGGGCTTCACACCCATCCATTGTGCCATCCACCGAAGCAGCAGGGGCAGCGGGCGCTTCCTCCGGTTCCAGTAATTGATCCCACCGTGGTCACAGAATCCAGTTCGGGATCCTCCAACTCTACGCCGGCCAGCAGTACTTCAAGTTCCACATCCAGCTCAAATAACTGCAGTCCGAATCACCAATCCTCACTGCCGAATTCGCCCCAACATGTAGAAGCTTCCGGGTCGGCGTCTGTTCGTTTCCGTGACAAGGGAGCAAAGGAAAAACGTCACTCGTTGAATGCTTTGCTGGGAGGGGGAGCTCCATTGAGTTTGCTGCAGACGAACCGCCATTCCGCTGAAATTCTGAGCCTTCCCCATGAACTAAGTCGCTTGGAAGTTTCCAACTCATCAGCTCCGAAACCCACATCCGCCCCGCAGTCCTCGCGAGTGCTTAAGACCACTGTTCAGCAGCACATGCCACCTAGTTTGCCCTGGGGATACTTAGCTCTGTTTCCATACAAACCACGCCAAACGGATGAGCTGGAATTAAAAAAGGGCTGTGTTTACATTGTGACCGAACGATGTGTGGACGGTTGGTTCAAGGGAAAAAACTGGTTGGATATTACTGGAGTGTTCCCAGGCAACTACCTGACGCCCCTACGCACCCGCGACCAGCAGCAGTTAATGCATCAATGGAAATATGTTCCCCAAAACGCAGATGCCCAGATGGCACACACACAGCAGCATTCAGTGCCACCAGATGTGCGACTCAACAACATGCTGTCCGTGCAACCACCGGATTTGCCACCTCGTCAGCAGCAGGCCACCGCCACGACCAACAGTTGCTCTGTTTGGTCGAAACCAGTGGAAGCACTGTTTAGCAGAAAGTCTGAGCCCAAGCCTGAAACGGCCACAGCCTCAACTACGAGCAGCAGTTCATCTGGAGCAGTAGGACTTATGAGGCGATTAACTCATATGAAAACACGCTCCAAATCTCCGGGAGCGTCCCTGCAGCAAGCTCCCAAAGAAGTTATCAGCACAAATGTGGAATCTACAACAAACCACCCATCAGCCAAATTGCACCCAGTACATGTGAGGTAAGAGCAGCAATAATGAGTTGTCCTCAAAGACAAGAATAAAAGTTTGTTTGTTTTGTTTTTTATATCTTTAGATCCGGTTCGTGCCCCAGTCAACTGCAGCACAGTCAACCACTCAATGAAACTCCAGCAGCAAAAACAGTGGCACAACAAAAGCAGTTTCTCCCCAAGCAACTGCCTCCTGCTTCCACAAACAGCTTCTCGTACGGATCGCAACGCGTGAAAGGAAACAAGGATCGTCCTCACTTGATTTGGTTAGATTAGCTTAATTAAAGGCTTATAACTTAACTAACTTTTCGATTTTAATTTAGCGCGAGACAATCATTAGATGCAGCTACATTTCGCAGTATGTACAGCAATGTCGCGTCGCCGCCACCTCCTACTTCCTCCCTGGCCTACAGCGCAGGTAGTCAGCAGCAGGCGATTCCTGGGGGAGGAGCGCAATCCCAGTTGCATGCGAATATGATCATTGCACCCAGCCATCGGAAGTCGCACAGCCTAGATGCGAGTCATGTGCTGAGTCCCAGCAGCAATATTATCACGGAGGCGGCCATAAAGGCCAGCGCCACCACCAAGTCTCCTTACTGCACGAGGGAAAGGTAGGTGTTACAATACATTATTGTGAGCTTAAAGAAATACTAATGTAACCTTTTATCGTAGTCGCTTCCGTTGCATTGTGCCGTATCCACCAAACAGCGACATCGAACTAGAGCTACATTTGGGCGACATCATCTACGTCCAGCGGAAGCAGAAGAACGGCTGGTACAAGGGCACCCATGCCCGTACTCACAAAACCGGACTGTTCCCCGCCTCCTTTGTTGAACCGGATTGTTAGACTATATTGGTCAAACTAGAATTTATCAAGCGAAATTCCAAATTATTTGTCTAAAAAGATTCAATCGTCAGTCTATATTCGGGCTTCCAATTCGCAATCTCCATTTCTCTTTTCAAAAAAGAAAACGTTTTGTACTCTTCCACCCGAATGGGCAGCCCAGCGTTGTACTTTTTTTTACAATGCTCAATCAAAATAGGCTAGCCATGTAAAACTTAGGGAACAGTTACTTAAGCCCTAGCGATTAGTTAGCTAGAAAAATAATCTAACCGATCCTTGTGCCCTCTGCGAAGTTATTTTTAATATACGATATACAGTAATATCCTTTGGTCGTTTTAACTTATTTTATTCACCAAGCAAAACATCGAGGCTAACTGTGGATTCAACTATTGCAAGGTTACTCGCTTTTTTCGAACTTGGATCCGTAGATGGGCACGTACTGCAGGACCAGCTTCCAGTCGGTGTAGTAGAGCACGGCCAGGCCAGCAGCTCCTCCGAATCCGGCACCAGATCGGATGCTTAGAATCAAAGGAAACTAGTTAAGTTCTCTGGATGGTTATGCAATGTGTGGTTTGGTAGCAGTAAGAGTGTGGGAATCCTTATGAATCCTTGATGCAGAATGAAGCACGACATCATATACTCACAAGGAACTTGCGATCTCAGCGTGCTTCTTGCCAAAAGGTATGCGGAAAGCCATTCTTGTCGATTTAATTACTTTTCTCTTGCACCAAAAGATTCACAATGAATGCAATAGTTTTGAATTTCCTAAATAATACCACTGCAGTGTGACCGTAGGTTTGCGCAAACCTTTAACTGCGAGGTGTGACAACTCTGTGCGGCCTACGTGAGAACAACAACTAGTCCTCAACAAAAACCTCCATTCGCAAGGAACTGATCCAAAATTACGAAATTAAAATGAAAATATTTGTTTTTGAGGAACTCAACACTTTCCAGCTGTTTGTCGTATCCACTGTGATACCGGCGGTGTTCGTTTTCCTGTGGATTCTGATATCTGGCGATATGAAGGTAGGGCAGATAGTGCCTATCATAATTGTAAATTTTAAGTATTTTTCCCTTTCTGGTGTAATTTTACAGAACTTCAAGGGCAGCAAATTGGCATACTCAGTTTATACGGCCAAGGATCCCATTAATTGCTATCAAGATTACGAACCGGAAAAACAAAAGGACAAATAAACTACATATGTACATACATAAGTGCCCGGATGGATTATCTTTTAACTTGTATATATGTATAAGAATTTAGTGACGATCCGAGGATTTGTAGAAAAAAATAATAAACCTTTAATATTTCGTTTATATTTTTAGCTTTCGAGAATTTGCATATATTTGGCATAATGTTTGGAAATATTTTAAAAGTAAACAAAATTCCAATTTCATTATGAATCATATATTAAACGAGCTGGTCACACCCGCTCTTGGTATTTTCGCGTTTGTAACGAACTTTCTTACTGAACTGAGCAGAGTCAGAGATTTTAAGGTAATTTTTGGTTTCTTAATTGTTCAAAGGCTCCCTCATCGACGGATATTGCGAGTTTTGATCGTGTCCTGCGCACTTTCTGGTGCCCATACGCACCAGCAATCCGATAATCCAGAATACAGGCCAAAAACCAAAACAAACAAAGAAGACAACTACGCAGAAGAGGAACAAAAACAATGTCGGAAACATACGGTTTGTCACCACACAACTAACTAATTAATGATTGTTACTAATTATTTCGGGTGCTCGGCAATCACATAGATTACCTGTTCAAGTTCCTGATAATTGGCAGTGCTGGCAGTGGTAAGAGTTGTCTGTTGCATCACTTCATCGAGAGCAAGTGTAAGTTGGAAAGCCTAAAAAATTTTACATCCTGATACTAATAGACCCTAAATGCATTTTATACAATCATCAGTCAAAGACGACAGTTCGCACACCATTGGAGTGGAGTTCGGCTCCCGGATTGTGAACGTGGGCGGCAAGTCGGTGAAGCTACAGATATGGGATACGGCCGGGCAGGAGAGATTCCGATCGGTAACCAGATCATACTATCGCGGAGCTGCCGGAGCTCTTCTGGTCTACGACGCCACTTCGCGGGACTCTTTCAATGCTTTGACAAACTGGCTGAATGATGCTCGTACCCTGGCCAGCCCCAACATTGTGATCCTTTTGGTGGGCAACAAAAAGGACTTGGAGGAGGCGCGTGATGTGACCTTTCTGGAGGCAAGTACCTTTGCCCAAGAGAACGGTATGTTTGACAGGATTATCTATCAATTCCCTATCGTCAATCTAAGTCTCTTTGTCGCTGCAGAGCTCATCTTCCTGGAGACGAGCGCCAAGACTGGAGAGAATGTAGAGGAGGCCTTCCTCAAGTGCTCAAAGACCATCCTGGCCAAAATTGAGACCGGAGAGCTGGATCCCGAGCGCATCGGTAGCGGCATCCAGTATGGCGGAGCTGCCCTCCGTAACTTACAGACACGACAGCGCAGCATCAATAAGCCGGATTGCACCTGTCGCGTTTAAGCCGAATGAGTTGTGCTGATTTATCTCCATTTAATCTCAACCCGGAATGCGCATTCGTATTTCCCTTTAGTTGTATTGTGTACTTGTCCACTTTATTAGAACGTATTTTGTCTTGCTAGATTAATCATTCCAAATGTAAGCTCTTCGATTTGTTTTAACATAACTAATTACCATTTCGAAAGCCCATGATTTCGGGTCTACCCCAAATGTTACTTACTATAATTTGAAAGCACTATATTCGTGAAGCACTAGAGCCCTCGAGCAGCAAAGGATGTATGGCTATAGGCACATAGATCGGATCTGGAGGGTGAAGAGAATGCACTCGGCATTTTTAATGTAAATAAGTTGTGCTACGTCGTTGACGACGTTGCCGATTGTAAATCTAATTGAAGCATACACGCGGTAAATAAAAACGCAAAATGATAAATGCAAATGTATCAAAAAATTTATTGCGACCATACCTTAGGTATTTAATTTTAAAGATTTAAATTTGGGAGGCTCTTATATTTCGCTTTTAACAAGTAACGAACATTTTAACTTCGAATAAAGCTACCAGAAAATTTAAATTAAATTCTTTTGTATTTTACAAAATTTATTGTATTATCCGCATTGAATGCGGGAAAAAGACACATTTCCGAATGGGCCCATTTTTTAGTCTTAAAAGATTTTGACCATTTATGGTGATAATCACATGATGATACACATGTATAGAAAATTAACAAAAATAAAAATTATGTATATAAGCTATGTAAAATAACTATTTAATTTGAATAATCGCTGGCGCTATAAATGTATAAATGCAAAGGATTTCTTCAAAGCCAGATAGCTTAGAATAAATCCCAGGCAAGCGTAAGGGAAAACTCGACTGATATAGAACCATCATATTAGGCGTCACATTTGCTTAACTTCTGAAGGGCATGCTTAGCAGCCGCTAGCTTGGCTTGCTTCTTATTGCTCCCAAATCCGTACACCTTGATCGACTTTTCCATGCAGGTAAACTGACAGCTAACCATCACTTTGTCCTCTTCGACAATGGGCGAGCTGAACAAGGGATTCGCATGCCTGTGCTCCATGAGCTGGCGTATAGGATTGATTGGCACGTTGCGCGCGAACTCCTGAAGCTCCGGCTTGAAGAGATTAAAAATTACTTCCCAAGTGCGTTGGAGATCTCGGCAGTCCAGGTAAATAGCTGCAATAAGAGCCTCCAGAACATCCCCCAATGCCTTTGGCACATCCACGTTTGTGGACATGTTGAATTCACCCCTTGGTTGGTCATTTTGCTCTTCCTGAGAAATGGATTTCAGTGCATTATTCAACTCAGTCATATCCAGATAGTCATCCAAGTCCAGCGAAGTCGGTTGAACATCAGCTTCCTCGAGCAGAATGCGCACATGATTGGTCACCCTGTGACGCTGACTCTCCTGGAAATGCACGAATTTAGATATGGACTCGGCAAGCATTGCGTTCTCCGCCAGGATAAAAAAGTGCAATCGATGCCTCACGCATATGCAGGCAAGCGTTGTATTGTTGACCAAAGCGGAACGCAGATCTGTGAGAGCGCCAGGATTCATGTTGGTATTGTTCTCAAAAATATAGACAGAGATTAGAAAGTCCAGTATGGCGTCGCCAATAAATTCCAGCTCCTGATAGCACCCGGTGATGCGATTAGTGGGATACGACGGATGGGTGAGGGCCTGCAGCAAATATCCCCGATCCTTAAATGTGTAGCCCAGATTATTTTCCAAATGATAGTGATTTATGAGGAAGCCGTCAATCTCTGTAGAATTCACATTCGCCCGCATCTTGCTGCCGCCTAGTTCGAGGTCCAGTAACTGAGTAAGGGGCTTGCCAATATCGGCCCGGCAAATCTTGAAGTACTCTAGCATTCGGAAAGCATGCTGCAGTCCGTAATTCTTAACAATCACGCCCAATAGCGCCTCAAGGGTATCGGCTATCACCTTGTCGGGAATCGAGACCAGTCCCACGCAGAAGTTCACCTCGGCAGAAAAGTCGGCCCCCGCATGATGGGACTGCGCATTCGCTCGACATCCCTCCACGAAGCTTTTGTAGTTGATATCGTTGCAGTAGCCCTTCACCATGGACTCCTCTTCGCCGAGAGCCAAGTCACGGAGATTGTGTGGGCCTATCATGTTCGCCAATTCAGGATTTTCTCGCCACAAGGTTAGAACATTGTGGGGCAAACTGATGCTGGGCGGAAGCCATGTGTATCTAGGCGTAAACAGAACGGTGCTGATCTTTTTGGGAATATCCGTGTCGCGGAGGCAGTACAACAGGTTTCGATTAGACACGAGCATGGACTTGACCTGTGTGAGAGAGCCCTCATTCCAATCCGAATACTTGTTGGCCAGGTAGAGTGTGGCACTCAGTTTTAGGAAGGAATCGCCCAGAATCTCTAGGCGCTCCATGTCATAAACATCCGCGGTGCCCGAGGAAGTGATTGCAGCCAAAAATTCGCCCTGTTCCGCGGGCGTTATATGTTTTCCGGAAACAGTTTTTTGCAAAATGGCCAGTGGTTTTACCGCCCCTTGAACAGTCGGACTCTCTGGCATCAAAGCTGCGAGGTTTGCGTTGGTCTTGGTCGGAGTTCCGTTGTCATAAATATTGCCCTTGGGCATCTTGAACTGAGATTCTGTCCAGTACTCCTTATCTTGAAACTCTATTTTCTCCATCTTAGCCACCTCACCTATGCTGAACTTATAGTAGTAGTCCAGCTCCACGGGAAGCACACTCAAAAGTTTCCGCGACAGATCCACCGGCTCCATATACTGTTGCCAGGAATTTTCTAGCTCTGTTATTTCCAGACTGCCCTTGGACATCTCAAGAGACTTTGTGCGCATTGGTTCTAGAAGCGACTTCGGCTCCTCGACATCCTCAGTTGGTATGACATTGCCCAGGTGGTCGACATTCCTCTTCAGCGAAAAATCGATTTCCAGTGGTTTGGGCATGTAATCTATTCCATTAAACGGCAGCATGTGGAGGTTTAAATACGTATTAAATCGCTTGCGTAAGGCCTCCGCGTGGAGAAGGAAGTGCATGCGGTTCAAAATGCTGGGTAGGAAGATCAGCTTAAGCCATAAATCCCCAGGAAATTCATAATTGAAGCATAGCTCCGGAATCAGAATAATTTTGGCCCTAGCCTTGCTCTGCGCGGACGATTTTCCACGATTTTGAACGTAGAAATTGAGCTGATCTGTTAGTTCTCTGACCTCGATCAGAAACTTATCCTTGTGCACAACATCACCAATGTGGTTGCCGTACTTTGACATGGTAAATTCGTAGTAGGTCTTGTCTTGGTGGTTCTTTTCCATGAAACTTAACGGTGTTAGTTCACGGTGCACCTTTGTAACCACCATGCGTTTCGTCTCGAAATTAGCATACCATTGGGTCACAATTTTTCCCTCAAAGTCTTCAGGACGGGGAGCAGTTTGTTGCTTGCGTTGCAGTACACTGGATTTTTCGGCTTGCGGCAATCTCTGAAATTTGGTCACCAGTGGCCAGTCAATGCGTTTCTGTTGATCGGCACCTAGTAGGAGAGGAACTACAAGGTAGGAGTTCTCCTTGCTGCGACGATCCAGCACAAAGAACGGCTGCCAGATCTTCAAAAGATCGCGGAATACCATTCCGTGAAACTGATGGAGCAGTTCCAGCTGCTCGGTGTTCTCGATAACTACTCTAAGTGGTTCATTAGCCACTCGAACGAGCAGCTTACCCTGATTGCTAAACAGTGGCATCTCTGCAAGGCGGGGTAGCATGTTCCGCAGCAATAT